GTATTCCTGTTTTTGCTAGTTTCCAACCAGATAATCTTAAAAAGAAATTGTCTTCATTTTATTTGTTGAAAGCGATCACGGTCGAGAAGACAAACATGTGCCCATAACGAGTTGAGTGTATATGCTAATACACAAAACCTTGGATGCCATCACAAGTGCTGTGAACGACGGGTGTTCGGAGAACGTTGTCACAATTATGCCACGAATGGCGACACAATCTGTTGACGGGACCAGGATATAGACCCTGAGTCACCATGGAAATAATAAAAGGAAAAACGTAGAAGTGGAAAAGTAAAAGTGATCCGTGGTCTTTAAAAGAAAGGAAGAAAAAACAAAATAGAAATAAGAAAAAAAGGGAGGCTGCTGAGAAGGAAAGAAAAAAAAGATAATTTAGTTGAAAAAGAAAATAAAATAAGGCAGAAAAACGTTAAAAAAGCAGAACTTTGAAACTAAGAGAAAATAAATCGTTGAAAAAAAGTAAAAGAAAAGAAAGGAGAAGGAACTTTTTTTTGTTCGCAAACGTCAAGGAGAGTAAGACAGAAGAAGGGGAAAGCTGACGAATGAAGCACAAGAAAACTATTAATAAAGGCAAGAGTATCTTTTAATTTCCATCTGCCTCTGGCTAAATCTTGCAGGCCGTTTATATGCTCATTAGTGTGGCTAGACGTCCGGTTGCCTCTAGCTAGGATCGAAACCCGGCTGAATTGGCGTCAGTCGGAGAATCCACCCCTAAGCCGTTTGCGCACGACAGAGATACAGGTGAATTTAAGCGTAATTATTTTTAGACACACCAGTGACTGAGAGAACTCAATTCGTTTTATCGAAGAGTATTGCATTAGTGGTAGTAATAGTCAGTGTTTACAGACTCATAGTTTCTCCCCAACGAACTCAACCGAAATAATTTTTCAGGAGCATATATTGTCATCCACAGACAAACTGTTTCACTGTATCACAGCTCATCCGTGTGGCTAACGTCCGGTTACGTCTAGCTAGGATCGAAACCCGGCTGAATTGGCGTCAGTCAGAGAATCTACTCCTAATCCGTTAGCGCATGAAGGCGGATTTAATCGTATTTATTTTTAGATAAACACACCAGTGACTGAGAGATCTCGATTCGTTTGATCAATATACTTTTTTCTCTCCTCATATTACGGCGGTTTTTTTTCTTTCATTCTACTTCATTGTGTTACTAGTATTTTTTTCTGTTATAGAAATAGTAATATTTTTTTTTAATGTTTATTTAATTTTATATATAACGGTGGATAGAAAAAAAGTTCCAATATGAGCTCTGGTAAAAACATGGAATGATAACAGCAAAAAAATTGCAATATGTGCACTGGTAAAAATGGTTGCTGAAAACATTAGGTTTACAATAACCAGAAATTCATACACAGATGTCCTCAATAGCACAGTGGATAAAGGCGTTGGTTGGATCCCGTGACAGGAATACCCGGTTAAGGCAGTGGAGAACTTTCATATAACTGATAACTGACATCCATTAAACATGTCACGTGGAACTAGAACAGTCGACCCCAGTGAGGCCAGAAGAAGGCCAGAGCGTACAATGGCCAAAACGTTGTAATATATATGGCGACAAAGATGAGAACAACAATGTAAATAATGAACGATGGATAGAGTTACTATCTACAATGTTACTCACCCCGTTTCTAGAATGGTGGGAAGTAGTTAAAAAATTCTTATATCGGGAAAGCATTCAGAATTTCAGGCTTGGAAACTGTCAATTTAGCGTATGACTATGCCGATAGAAGCGTGTCCGAATACATAGGTATATACCTAGACGATAATCCTGAAGCTAGCTCGACCGATTTCTTTCAACAGCTCACCGCTCAATCTACAGAATATATCAGCAGACAGTAAGTTAATTAGAATTAGACAGAGCGAGAATTAGTTAACAGAGTGCTAAACTTGGCCAAAACAGCCTTTAAGGGCGCAGTATAGAGAGACGGGGAAGCTGTCCAATCACAACTAGAAGAGTACTATACGGATGCAATTACAAATACATTTGTAAGGACCGATGTAGCCAAGGCAGCTCCTAAAACACTTGCAGAAGCATTTACGGTGGCACAAAGGAGTCATAAATTGTTTGAGAGACTAGAGTCTTCCCAGAGGCACGTGCATGGGATGGGATGTCCCGTTAGGGAAAGAGAGACACTATCTCTCAATGTCAGGGAACAGTGGAGTCGTGGTCGAGCTGGTAGTAGTTGTAGTAATAGAGTCAGGGTTAGGGATTACTTTCAACGAGGATTTAGGAAAAGCGAGCTAGATGTTACAAGGCAGAAAATATTTCGGGCAGACGGAAGGGAGATAAAGCTATTGGGATTAATACACCTTTCTCTGTAGCGGTAGGAGGGGCAGTAACGATACAACAAATGTATACGGCACCTACCCTGAGTAGATCAATGGTACTAAGTAGGGACTGGCTTCAAAGTAATGAAGTGCAGATAAGCCTCAATACAGCACTTCCACTGCTTAAAATGGGGAAAACAAAAATACCTTTAGGAGAAAAGAAGGAAAAAAGAGCAGAGAAATAGACATAAAAGCTACCGGGATGTTATTCCACGCCCATGCACGGTCATCATTTGTAGTGGGAGGCTTCAGTTGAGGAACTAGGAGGGAGGAAAATACATCGGGTCGCCCAAATGGGTGAACCCCGTTTTGATGAGGGGTAACTAGCACTAGAGAAGTCCGTATTGGAAGCTACCAGTACAGGTTGTATCCCAGTAATGCCAGTTAACACTACTAATACAACAATAAGGGTTCACAAGGAAGAGAAAGTGATGGAGGCTATACCAGCTATTACCAAGTAGGAGGTAGAATGGACAGAAGATAGTAAAACTAAATATAAGGATTCCATAATTGGGTGTGGAGAGATATTAACTCCTACACCTACACAGAAAGAGAGTATCCTGCATTTTAAAGGGTGTTTCATTAAGACGGAGTATATATAAGGGTGTTTCATTAAGACGGATCAAAGTCCGTAGTAAATAAATCAGTGTTATTGGTGAAAAGTTATTTATTTCTCTATTGGATCATGTTATTTAAGTCATGACAATTATGTGTAAAATAACATCGCCCAAGTGTCCGCCAAACCTGAAAGAAAAAGAAAACATCATTAGACGCTTACACTTAATTCACATTAAAATCAGTCCTAGTTATTGGAACACCCTTTATTAGGGACGACCTTTCGAAGCTAAAGGAAGGATCCCACGTTTAAGTGAGAAATCGTATTGTTGCTACTTCCTAACCAGAGAGTCTTGAAAAGCAATTGTTTTCATTTTATTTGTTGAAGGCGATTAAGGCCGAGGAGACAAACCTGTGCACATAGCGAGTTTTGGGTGTATATTCAAATACACTTAACCTTGGATGTAGTACCGTGAGCGACGGACGATCGGAGAACATTGTCCCAATTACGCCACGAATGGCGTCATATTAATGTGGGAGGACACCGAATCAGGCCCTAGAACGAGATAGTCAGTAGACCATTGTAGTAGTAGTTGGTGACCCTGTAATGGTGTGGGGCATATTGCATGATTTTATTATAAAAATAAATTGCAAGTGCTTTTAATATAAAAATGCATTGCAAATTACTAAAGATAGAAATTTATTATAAATATATTAAAACTTTCATAAAATTCAATCATTTCAAATCGAGCGATTATATGGTAAAGCACTGCAAATGAATTTACTATAAAATGCATTGCGATTTATCACAGATTAGATTTATTAAAGAAATACATCAAAACATTCATGTATTCTATTCATTACATGTAGATTGACATAGCAAATACTGAAAACACAGATGAGATATCATTGGAAATATTTTGACTGTAAAAATGCAGTGCAAGTGATTTCACTATAAAATTGCAGTATAAATGATTTCACTATAAAAATACATTGCAAATAATTTAACTGTAAAAATGCAGTAAATTGGACGAGATATAGAATTTATTAAACAAATGCATCAAAAATTCCTTTCACTCTAATGATTACATATCGAGTGATGAAGTGATGAGAGAAGTACTTTAACTCAAGTTCATACGTATACACACAACCAAAAGAAACAAAGCTAGAATTATCTATCTATCTATCTATCTCTCTCTCTCTCTCTCTATATATATATATATATATATATATATATATATATATATATATGTTATATCTCGTGCAAGATATAATAAACAAAGTAAACCCGAGTGTTGGTTTTCAATATTAATTTTATAATCGGATGTAGGTATGTCAAAATACAGAGACAGAGTCGGGAGTATTCGTGTTAACAAACGAAGACCTTTTTCACTGTCCGCTGTGGTCGTACTTAATCGGCAACCAGTCCGTCCATTATCGTGAATGGGGAAGTTGGGTTATCTCATCACAACAATATATATAATTCTACCTTTGTTTCTTTCGTCCTGTTTGGAGGTTTCTGATGCTTTCTTTTTTTTCCATTTTTCCTCGGATGCCAATTTATTTGAAAATTGTGCTATCCAGGTTTTTTCATCCACCAAGTTAAATTAGATTTACATTATATATATATATATATATATATAGGCTATTTTGCGGATACCCTCTGGATTTGATAATTATTAAATTTCATATATTGTTTTTAGTTTAATTAACTAAGTAAGGATGCGGAAACTAGTTAAGCCATCAGTTCATGGTGTTAGATTCTTTAAAGAGAGAGTTGCCTAAAATTTGAAATCCCCCAAACCTAAGAGTACCATTAACCAACAAGGTAGATTAGTCAAAAAGTGCTAAAATTAAAAAAAAAAAAATTATGCCGTAACAGACTAATTTCGCCAGTATTATTATTATTATTGCATATATGATAATGACCTTCAGGAAGAGTAAGTCCCTCTGGCACGAAGTGAGCGAGAAAATTAGTTTTGTAAAAGGCATAAAACATCCTATTTTTGGCGATTTTTCGAAATCCAGAGCGTCGCTCCAAACCTTTAGGCGATAATGTACAATATCACTTCAGGTGGATGATCATGGATGGATGGATCTATCTATCTATCTATCTATCTATCTATCTATCTATCTATCTATCTATCTATGTACATGGATAGAAACTAAATTGAGCATAATTTTTAAATTGAATTTATTCACAGATATTATACATATTTTAAATTAGATAATTTTCTTTTGTATAGCGTCAAGTTATTCTAAATTTGTTCTTTCTTAAAGAGGTTATTGCATGACATAATCTAATTTGAAAATTACAGATGATTATGCGACATCTTTAATATATATATATATATATATATATATATATGTGTGTGTGTGTGTGTGTGTGTGTGTGTATTTCTAAATTAATTGAATTTAATAACATTGCCTCCTGATAAGTGGGTATCATCTATGAAACATTGAATTGGGTAGGTAAGTTTTGAACATTTTATTTTATTTCTTTATGACAACATGTAATGGATTAAATCCGACAAATATTTTAATATATTTTCTGTTTATCCGTTATTTTTATGGATAAAAGTAAATGCTCTATATTTAATTAAACAGTATTAATTACCTTTACCGGTCGGGATATTCGAGAAATTTCGCATAAAATATGCGCCCTCCGACAGGACTCGAACCCGTATCCAATGTGGAAACCGTCATTTAGAGTGACGGGCTTTTAATCGATTCAACTACAGAGAACTTCCTGTTTCGAAAAACTCAAATTACTGCTTATAAACACATACAGTTGACGACCTTTTCGATAATTCATTCCTGCTGAGAAATTTCTTGAATATTCAGGCTGGTAAATGTAATTTAATACTATTTAATTAAAAACAACATTTACTCAAATAAGATGTATCCATAAGAATAACGTATAAATAGAATATATATATATATATATATATATATATATATATATATATATATATATATATATATATATATATATATATATATATATATATATATATAATAATAATAATAATAATAATAATAATAATAATTTCAGCATTTGAAAATTGCTTCGGCATCAAATGAAACTCGGAGTTGTGCAATTAATGTAAGATATTATGTATATTTTTTAATATATATATTAAATGGCTCTGTTACTTAACATTGAGCATTGCTTTTTCTTACATTATACTGTATTTATATGTATTTGAATACGATAGCTCGCTATATTCACCCATTCGGTTATATATATATATTACACACACACACACACACACGTGCGCATATATATATATATATATATATATATATATATATATATAAGCGGACATTGAAATCAACACCCAGCGGCGATAGTCTGTTTCATGTTTATATGCAATCGTCAGGTTATCACCATCAGGCTTAATGATTGCGTATAATGTCGTCTCTGGATGTTGACTTCAATGTCTAATCTTATATTTACATACACTCTATCCTGATATTGAGCACTTCAACCCATAAATGTAGCATACCTTATAACTATATTTTTGTCATATATATATATATATATATATATATATATATATATATATATATATATATATGAGGAGGCACGGTTGAGTAGTGGACAGAGGCTCGGATTGAGTGCTAATACCACTGCGAAACGGTATTAATCCTCTTCTTCTCCCTCCAGCTATGGGTAAATAGCAGGACAGAATGGGTTCTATATAGCCATATATATATATATATATATATATATATATTGAATTTTTTAACAACATTGTTTCTTTATTTCATCGCCAGCAAGGCGATAATTCGACTGAGACTCAAGGGTGACACTGAGATAGAAAGAAAATGAAAAAAACATTAATGAAAAGAAAGAACAATAAAAGAACCGAATTCAGAATGATAAAAGATGGTCAGTGATGTTGCATTTAAATGTTTTGAAGATTGTATGCGACAGGGAAGTAAGAAAGCTGTAAAGCTTTCCATGGGTGGGACGTGAGAGAAAAGAACCTATTAGCATAGAACTTATGTTTACATCTAGCCATTTCAACAATAATGATGAGTTCAAATATATATATATATATATATATATATATATATATATATATATATATATATGAATGAAAGATAGAATAAAGAAGATTAGGAAACATTTATAATAAATTCAACATGTTTCGCTTTTATTTAAGCTTCATCAGAAGGTTTGGGAAATGAGTTATGAAAGAGATTTTTCGTACTTTGAATCCCGTGTGATGTGTTTTTCTCAGTCAGGTAGATCTCACATGTTTTTATCTTGTGGTATTAATGTCTTTAGCGTGTGTGCGTGTTAGTGTATGTGCGTCTGGATTCTAGTAGTCATTTTTGTGTGTCTGTCTAGTACTGTTTCCGTATGTGTAATTCCTGGAGATGGTAGTAGGATAAAAATGGGAACGGTGTGAGTGTATTTATGTGTATCAAGTTTCTAGCTGATTCTGCGGAAGTTTGTGTTGTTGGTACGTGTGTTGACCGTTGGTTAGATGCATGTTATTAATATTATGTAAATTATATGGTCAAGAAGAGATCGTGTGTATCGGGAAATTTGGGAGTGTGTGATGTTTTGGCTTATTTCTATTATTATTATTATATAACATTTATTGAGGAAAATAGTAGATGTCGGGAAATTTTGTGCATGTAGTGTGTATTGGTTAATTGATATCATTATTATTATTATTATTATTGTAATTATATATGACTTTTGATTTATATCAGGAGATGTTTGGTGCGTTAAATTGAAAGACTTAGGTGACATCGTCCACAGGAAGATGGATCTTACGTTCTTTATCTTTGGGTCTTGGTGGGGATATGACAATTTGCGTCGAGCGTATGTTTATCGATCGTGCTGAAAAGTTCCCGTCTCGAACAGGATGAGAATTCACAAACAAATTTTGATGTTTAGTCATTTGCTCAAATGTTGGGAAGCTGGTATAACCGAGGACTTTTCAGTACGCTCGAGTTTATATAAACAGGCAATATTCAATGATTAACTTATAACCTTCTCAAATGTCCGAAAAAGTAGAAATGAAACGCTAGTTACTTTATCGAATTAATTGAAGCTTCCGGGTCATGTGGTAAATTGAATATTCCGGGACATGTGGTAAATTGAAGATTCCGGGACATGTGGTAAATTAAAGATTCTGGGACATTTGGTAATTTGAAGATTCCGGTACATAGGGTAATTTGAAGCTTCCGGGGCATGTGGTAATTTGAAGCTTCCGGGGCATGTGGTAATTTGAAGATTGCGGTACATAGGGTAATTTGAAGATTGCGGTACATAGGGTAATTTGAAGCTTCCGGGGCATGTGGTAATTTGAAGATTCCGGTACACAGGGCAATTTGAAGCTTCCGGGGCATGTGGTAATTTGAAGATTCCGGTACATAGGGTAATTTGAAGATTCCGGTACATAGGGTAATTTGAAGATTGCGGTACATAGGGTAATTTGAAGCTTCCGGGGCATGTGGTAATTTGAAGATTCCGGTACACAGGGCAATTTGAAGCTTCCTGGGCATGTGGTAATTTGAAGATTCCGGTACACAGGGCAATTTGAAGCTTACTGGGCATGTGGTAATTTGAAGATTTTGGTACACAGGGCAATTTGAAGCTTCCTGGGCATGTGGTAATTTGAAGATTCCGGTACACAGGGCAATTTGAAGCTTCCGGGGCATGTGGTAATTTGAAGATTCCGGTACATTGTTGTAATTTGAAGATTCCGGGACATGTAGGAATTACTGTGTCCTATTCCTGAGTGCCAATTAATCAAGATGCCAAATCGAGTTTTTCTAGAAAGAAAGAAAGGAAATTAAAATTGCAAACCAAAAACTGATGTTTTATATCCACATTTAGAGGCACATATATGCATTGATGGATGAATGGGTACCGCTAGATCAGTGATTCTCAAATTCCGTGACATGGCACACTAGTGTACCGCGTGATTCTCTTAAGTGTTCCGCAAAATATTGTCACGGCATCCATACATATATATCTGTGTGGGGGAGTAATAATGGTGCAGCGTTAGTAATTAAGTGAATCAATAACTATTAAACTTCTTTTCAAATAATTCTTTTCACTATTCTTCGATTATGTTATTTTCAATACTCTGTTTTTTAATATTCATTTTTTTTTAAATTATCCGTATAATGGTTACCCATCTGAAAACGTTCGACGAAAACATCGACTATTATTTTCCGTCATTGAATACATAAATGCTTCTTCTAATACTGGACTTCAATTATGTAAAGAAGAATTGGCCACCATTTCTAGTAATTCGTGGTCTCAAAATAAAACATTCGACGGTAACCATTGATACATTTTGTATTTCAATACAAAAGGAATAGCCCACATCAACTAAAAAAAGCTTTATCAGTTTTATTGCAATTTTCTACCTCTTATTTATGTGAATTATGTTTCTCACACTTAAATAACATCAAAAATAAAAAGCGAGAAAGGCTACGCTCAACTGAAGAAGAAATGAGGATCTGCTTATTGCACATTCGACCAAACATTTCAGAAAACGAGAAGAAACACCAGTCACAGGTTTTACACTAAATAAGCTGCACAAATAGTTGAATAGATACATTGAAATAAAGTAAGTTTATATTTGTGTGTATATATTTCTAAAATTTTATGTTTTATTTCATACCATTTAAATGCATACCCTTTAAAATTCTTTCTAAGTGTGCCGTCATGGTTTCATTTGCTCCTAGGTGTGCCTTTGCTTAAAAAGGTTGAGAAACAATACTTTAGATTTATATAGGTGTATCAATTTTTTGCTGCTTTGTGTAGAAAAAAAGCTCAGAGATACTGAAACTGATAAGTTTGATTCCTTTAGTACCATTGAAAACTTTATAGATCAAGTAAAGAAAACTGCAGGAACGCCTACAGAAGGTAGTAAAGAAAAGCGAGAAGAAAGGACTAAGCATCAATTGTAAGAAGACAGAAGAAGAAACAGACCAACATGCAAATTAAAAATTGGAAATCGAAAAATTAGACACGTGCAAAAATTTAAATATCTATATGTTTTTGTGATGTCAACGAACACTCGTTGCCACTTTTGTAATGTCAACGAATACTCGTTGTCACTTTCGTAATGCTCGTTGTAGTAGAAACTTTGGAATCATAGATACAACTTAT